TGTATGGGAGAAGACACCCGCCCCTGCCCCAAGCCTTTCCCTGGGGCCGGTAGCTGGGAAGGAAGTAGTCAGGAGTTAGGAGAGGGTTCCAAATTTATATTTCAGTGCTCATTGTCCAGTTGCCACCCTCAGCCCCTGCCCACCCGCTGCAGTGGAGAGGAGGTCCTGGCTGCCACTCAAGCCGTCCCTGAGTGCAGCATCTCTCCAGCGCAGGTGTCTGAGGGAGCACCCAACATCAAGGGTCTGGTGCGAAGACAAAGTCGAGGGCCTGGCGCTCTGCCCCAGCCACGTTGGGGTGCCAGAGGTCCACGATGAAGACCACTCGAGGCCCATCTTCAGGGGAGCCTAGGGCACATGGGGATAGAAACAGCAGAGGGGCTGACATGAAGTACTTCTGTGCCAGAGCACTCATCAAGTAAGTGCCAGGCCCTGTTCTAACCCTTTATATGTATTAACTCTTAAATCATCAAAACAAACTGAGCTAATTCCATGATTATTCCCATTTTATACAAAGTAAGCAAGGTAAAGTAACTTGCCCAGGTGCAAGAGGTAGGGCAGGAACCCAAGTGGTGATGCAGGCCCAGAGTCCTTTGCTATTAACCACTTTACTGTGCACCTACATTACTTACTTAATCCTTGCAGCCACTTGTTAAAGAAGCTGGTTGCCCCACAGAGCATTGGAGAAGTTATGTGACTTGTTCTGGTCATGGAGCTGGAAAATGGTCCTAGGACAGGAAGTCAGTGGGGCCAGATTCTGAAGCCCACTAGTCTATCCCTTCTCCCATTCGTCCCTCATCCTCCCTGGCAGAATGGGTGCCCGTTACCATTATGAGCCACTGTGTGCAGAAAGGAGTCGTCCACCAGCAGACAGTGCCCCTCAGCCCAGCACTGGGGCTCGCCACCAACCACCAGCTCACAGCCAGGGGGGATCCTCAGGCCTGTGGGAAGAAACCAGGGTGTCCAACACTCCTCTCTCCATCCAAGGGGCCCTGTTCAGTCGATTGGCAGTTCAAAGGACCTTAAAGGTCAGGTTTTGTGGTGGTCCATCCTTTCTTTCTGGAAGGTGACCATGTATAATTACAATACAGTACTGGATGAGGGAAGTGCTAGGAAACTGGGGAAATGCTGCTGTGGGAAGTGCAATCCATTGTTTTAGCAAACAGAGAAGGCATCTTGGAGGGAATGGCATCTCCTAGGCCTCCTGACAATTCAATTCAAGAACCTACTCTATCCTAGGTGCGGTCTCCCCACAAGGTGTGAGACTAAAGACTCCTTCCTGGCCCAACTGAGCAGCCAACTCAAATCATGAGGAATAGGAAGGCAGCCCAGAGGGGAACGTGAGTCCTGGGCCAAGAGGAGGTTTCCAGGAGGTGATGAGGGGAAAGTCATGCTAGGATGAAAGCATGGCGTGTGTGTGGCATCCACCAGGATCAGCCAGGCCTTCATGATTTAGAGCGTGGTGGGAGGGGCGGGGAGGAAGGATCTGGACTTGATCCTGAGGCCAGTGTGTCCCAAAGTGAAGGACACATCCAACTGGCAGCATAGGAGATGATTTGAGGTGAAACAAGGTTCATGGAAAATTGTTTCTATTTTCCATTTTCTTTTCAATCTTTAAAACATCAAAAAGAAAATCTTAGTTTGGTGCTACTATAACTTTGACACTCCACTTGTTCCCTTTTAAATGAAGAAAGTGTAGGCTTCGGGCTTGGAGAACTAAAGTATTTAACTAGAATGGTTAAAGCTTGCTTTTTTTAAGTTTAAACTTGTTTTGATGAGTACTTTCTATTTAGGGCAAGTAATACTGATGATGACTTACAGTTCTATAAAGATTGCTCTTACATAAGTAAAACAAAAGGTGTGGGGAAAGTCAATGTGAAGAAGAATGGTACAGGTGGTAAATGACTATGGCAAAGCTAATGAAGATGATCTGTGATAACTGAAGCTCAGGAAATGCTGCTCTGGGCAACAGGGAGCCATGGAAGATTTCGGAGAAGAGAAGGCATGATGAGAACACAGACAGCTCTGGCGGCAGAGAAGAGGGTCTGGAAGGGGGATCGTGGAGGAAAGGAGGTTGTCTGTAGGCAGCATCTACTTACCAAGATGGCATCTGACCCGGGCATTGGTGGGCCCACAGCGGCTCTCAAGCCGGGCCCCAGGCAGGAGGACAGAAAAGCCGGCATTGCCGAAGGTGTTGGCGCTCATAAAGCTCCGCAGCCCCCTCAGTACCCGATAGGCCCCTGGGCACTGGCGGCAGTTGGCGGGTTGGCACCGGCCTGCTTGGTACAGCAGGAGCTGGTAGCACCCAGGCGCCAGGGGCGGAGACCAGCCGCGAGGCAGAGGGGTAGTCCCTGAGAAGTCCCAGCTCACAGCCCCAAAGTCCCGCAAAATGGCAGGGAAGCTGCTCTCCAGGAGCTCCACATCATGCCGCTGGGCATCCCGTGGCACAAAGGGAGAGGAAGGCAGGTCTGGTAGGAAAAGCAGGCCTGGGCGCTGAATGCCCAGGACCCCTGGCCCTCCCCTGGGGCCTGGACCACCCTGCGCTGCCCGCCTCACCCTGCCCATCCCAGCCCAGGAGTAGCGTCTGGCATAGGCCCGAAGCCGACGGCTCACTAGGCCTTCTGTCCTGGATCCTTCCCCAGGTTCTCCAGAGCTCCTTAGACTTGGCCTGCCAGCCTCAGAGCATCCCCCAGGCCCACCTCCAGCCTGGCTCCCAGCCCCCAGGGCCTGCATGTCTTGGGAGCCCAGACGGTAACAGTACCAGAGGAAAAGGGAGGTGAGGGCTCCAAGGAGCAAGGTAAGGGCGGAGGATGCCAGAGGCAGTGGCCATGGGAGCATGATGGGCAGTGAGGCCCTAGCCAAGAGGCCTGGGGCATCTTCCAGACCCCAGTTCCCCTGTCCTCCCAGCTCTCCACCAGGTCCTTCCATAGCTACTCCTTGGATCCCCCCTGGGCTGTTTCCCTTCCACATCCCCACTCTCGGTCCTCTGTCTCCTTCTGAGGTCTCCGCTTCACTTTGTGTCTCCCTTTTCCCTCCTTCGTGTACCTCTGGCCCTCCTATCCCTTTCTTTCCTTCTGTTCCTCCGCTCTCCTACCTCTCCTTTCTCTGTGCCCCTTCTCCTCTCCCTCTCCTTCCCTCGCCCTCTCCCTCTCTTCTTTCTCCTTCCTGCAGTCTCCCTCTGCCTTCCTCTCTCCACCCTCAGTCTCCCCCTCTGCTCTCTTTTCTCCTCCTTCCTCCCCCCTCCTTTTCGCTCTCTCCTTGCCCTCCCCGCTTTCTCCCAGCCTCCCTGGACAGTAGTTCCTACCCCACCTGGACCCGCAGCCCCGGGAACCGCAGCCTGTCTTCCTCTGTGGCGGTTTCTCTCTCGCCTTCCTCCCTCCTGTCTCCTTCTTGCCCTCACTTCTCACTCGACCCGACCTGCCGCTCCTGCCTCTCTCCCGTTCCCTCTCTCCTACTCGCTCCTTCCGTGGCTCCCACTCACCCTGACGTCACTCCTTCCCGGAGCCCTCTCAGTTTAGCTACCCCCGACCCCTCCCAGTGGCAGCCGCAACTCAGCCAGGGGGCGGGGGGAGTCGTCTCTGGATTTGCCTCCCCGCCCCCCCAGCCCGGAAAGGGCGCCACGTGGGGCGCAGGGGCACCGTGCCAACCTCCAGCCGCCCCGCAATGCGAAAAGAAGGGGCGGGGCGGGGCGGAACCAAGAAAGGGGCGGGGCGAGCGCGCGGACTGACTGTCAGGGCCGGCGCTCGGGGACTGCGGGCAGGGACTCCAGGGCCTGTTGGCGGGTCTGCGAGTCCCTCGATCAGTCGACCTGTGTGACTCTCGCTCCCCCTTGGCCTTCACAAGAGCCAGCCCCTGGCAGGAGGCCGACAGATAGTGAAAGCGGCTTCGGCCAATCGCCGGCGGCGCGGGGCCGGGCCGGCTTGGGCGGGCCGAGGAGAGCTGTCCGCGCGCTGGTGGTGCTGAAAAGGGCGCTCCGGGGCGTTGTGAAGGAGACCGGGAGAGAAAATCAGAGCTGAGGCCGCCAACTAGCTGGCCAAGGTCACATTATATGTACGAGGAGGGGGTCTCCCCGCCAGACCCCAGCCCGTCACCCCTTAGACTCCTCACAAACGTGGATTCTCGCCATCCTGGGGCAGGGGAAAGCCCTCTACCTGAGCTTCTGTAAAAGGCAAAGAGGGAAGCCCCATAGGGTGTCTGGATGTGTACAGGGGGCATATTGGGGGGCCTAGCAGGCGCGAACCAATCTGTGCCTCCCCTCGGCGCTCTGGCAAGAGGAGATTCAGATTCCAGATGTGCTGGAATGGTGGGGGAAGGGAGGGGTGCTAATTACTGCTGGGACCAGAGAGTTTCCTTTGCCTCCCCTAGGGGCAGCGGAGTGAGGATTACGGTCCTGGCTCATATGATCCCTCCTTCCTCCATCTGCACTTCCTCCTCCTCCCTCCCGCTCAAATAAATCCAAGGCCCCTCCTTTCGCCCGTCCCCAGGATCTGACGTGGGCTAGACACCTTTCTCAGCTTCTCCCTCCCGCAGCTCCAGTGCCCGAGCTTCGCTCTCCCGGTTCCCCAACCCCTTCCCCTCCTCGACAAGCCCCGCTAGAGCCCAACAGGGACCCTTCCGATCCTCGACCCCACCCTAGGCCCCCGGAAGCTGCCTTCTCCCTCCCCAGTTCCCTAGCTTGGGATCCAGCCAGCCCAGTGGACCCAGGCCCCTGAGCAAGAGGATAACCCAGGCCACCCAGCCCCTTCGGCCCTCTGGGCCCCACCCCCTGCAGCCGGAGCCGCGCCCCCTCTACCACAGATTCAGGAGTAGAGGACAGAGGAGATTGAGCAAAGCGGGGTGGGCTCCAGGCGACCCCTAGTCCGATTCTGCCCCTCCTTCCCAAGGGGCAGAGAAATTGTCTTCCTTTGCTGACCCTTAGCAGGAAAAAAAAGAAAGAAAAGAAAAGAAAGATAAAAAGACGGAGGAAAGGTGGCCACTAGATTATTTAGGACAGGCACAGAGGAAAGAAATCGGTGTGAGTCGCCATGGGGACTCCCAGGGCCCAGCACCGGCCGCCTCCCCAGCTGCTGTTCCTAATTCTGCTGAGCTGTCCCTGGATTCAGGGTAAGGACATGAGAGTGTGGGGGTGGGCCCTGAGAAGGTCCAGAGCGGGGTCCTCCACCCTCCTTTCTCCTAACATCCTGGGTCTTCCAAGCTCATGGAGGAGGGGAGGGGCACAGCTGATGGGGAAGGGGCAAGCCAAGGCTTTGCGGCTTGAATCTGAAGCCTCTTAACCTCCAATATTGAGGAGGTGGGGAAATGAATGAGGGGAGCTTCTAGCAGCATCTCAGGGGTTAAATCCAGATAGGAGGGATAGGAAAGTTGGGGGGATGTCTGCGGAGGTGGCAGAAGCACGCAGGGTACCTGGGTGGGAGAAGGAGGTACTGGGAGAGATGCCAGGCACCGCACACACAAATGTTCTTGGACATACGGACAAAGACAGATGAATAGAGGACAGGACTCAGAGGCCAGATATTCAGTCCCCCACTCTGACCCCCAGCCAGACTCTGGGAAAGGAGACAGAGTCTGCAGAGAATGAGAGAGAGAGAGAGACAGAGAGAGAGAAAGAGAAAGAAAGGGAGAAAGACAGCCACACTGCAGAGACAAACCCAGGGAGACAGCTGGGCACTGCAGAAGCAAGGGCTGGGAGGTGCTGCCAGACCCTCTGCAGAGCCCCGGGGTTGGGGGGAGATCACCACTGAGGTGAAAAGGACAGCAGCACGGATGCCTCCCTCTGCTCTGCTGGTACTGTCCAGGGTTTATAACAGCTAAGATGCTCACTGAAGGCCCACACAACCGGGGGTGGGAGGTAAGGGGGTGGGAAGAGGAGTAGGAGTGCGAGGGGCAGCTGGGAGCCCCTCCCCTGATCTTGGCTGTCAGCCCAGCCTGGGACCCTCTGAGCCTTGCAGGCCCAGCTGATGAGGAGGGGAGGAAGAGCTCTGGGAAAGAGCTCCCTGGAGAAGAAAGGGCTGTGGGGGAGTGGAGAGGCTCACACAACTTCACCTCCTAGGTCTGCCCCTGAAGGAGGAGGAGACACTGCCAGAGCCTGGAAGTGAGACCCCCACCGTAGGCTCCGAGGCCCTGGCTGAACTGCTCCATGGGGCCCTGCTGAGGAGGGGTCCAGAGATGGGCTATCTGCCGGGTGAGGCTCCCGGAGTGGCAGCAGTGGCCTCGAGGCAGAGGGAGGGACATTGGCTCAGGGAGATGGGGGGCCAGGCTAGGGAGTGAGCGAAGCAAGCAGAGAAAGGCTGCAGAGGGGCAAGCACTCCCCAGCAGGCCAGCGAGACTTGGAGGGAGACAGAATGAGGCAGTTGCAGGAGTGAAAGACCAGAGACATAGAGACAGAATGATTAAGAGACAGTCAGACAGAAAAACAGACACGCAGAGAGCAAGATAGACAGAAACTGAGAGAATCAGAGTCAGAGAAATGGTGGGAGAAAGAAGGAGAGAGAATGAAATACAAAAACTAGTCAATCCCAGAATCATAAAATTAGAGAGCAATGAGAATACGACTAGTGAAATGAAGAGTTCTAGAGAGAGCGAGACAGAGGAGAGAGAAAGGTAACCGGGAGAGGTCTGAATGGGGAGGCAGAGAGAAGGGCTCAAGGAGAGCATTGGGGTGGAAGGGCCTGGGTGGGGGGTGGCGGGAAGAGACGGGGGTCAGGCCGTCGAAGCCTTGGGAGGAGGCGGGGAGTTTGGGTGGGATAGGGAAAGCTGGGGAACCTGTACCTTGTGGGGGAGTCCTTTGGGGTTCAGTAGGAGAACCCCCAGTTTCCCTCAGCCCTGCTCCCTACCCACGGCCACCATGTGCTCCTCCTGTGCCCTGACTTCCCTTGCACTGTCCCAGGACCCGATCCAGACCCCACGCTAGCCACCCCTCCAGCGCGCCAGACTCTCGCAGCGCCCTCCCTGCCACGGGCCACTGAACCAGGGACAGGGCCGCTGACGACAGCCGTAACCCCTAAGGAGGTCAGAGGGGCAGGCCCCACCGCGCCAGAGCTGCTGACTCCGCCCCCAGGAACCACGGCCCCGCCCCCGCCTGGCCCCACCTCCCCGGGCCCGCCCCTCGGGCCTGAGGGAGGAGAGGAGGAGACCACGACCACCATCATCACCACGACAACTGTCACCACTACGGTGACCAGCCCAGGTGAGGCAATGGCAAGGGGATAGGGGTCGTGTCCAGAAGCACGGACGTGGGAGAGGAGGACGCTGGGGGTGGGCGGGAGAGAGGCTGCTGCGAACTGTGGAAGACGGAGTCCTAGGTACAGACTGGAGGGGTTTCTGCTTGATAATAACAGAGGCGAGCATTTACACAACCTCACTGTGTACCAGGCACCACCCGTGTGTTGCAGTGACACTATGGTTGGGAAAGGCAGTTCTGGGTACAGGTGGAAGAGGGAGCACTGGATAAGGATGGTGAGAGGTGCTCAAGAGAAGGCAGATGAGGACCTCCAGAGTCACTTGGCCAGGAAGGCAGGAGCACAGGGGTTCTCTCAATCCCAGCCACTTATATCTCTTTAGTTCTGTGTAATAACAACATCTCCGAGGGCGAAGGGTATGTGGAGTCTCCAGATTTGGGGAGCACCGCCAGCCGTACCTTGGGGCTTCTGGACTGCACTTACAGCATTCACGTCTACCCTGGCTATGGCATCGAGATCCAGGTAACCAGACCTAAGCACGTGACTGTGAAACTTCCAAGCCTTTTCCTCTGGGCTTGTGGGGTGTGCGCAGGTTTGGCCTGGGAGCCAAAAAACCTGTGTTGTGACTCAGATGATCTCAAAAACTCTTCCAGAGTTCTACAGCTTGGGCAACGTCACTGTGCTGTTTGGGCTGCCACACACAGGGGAAAGGCAGGAGGTGGGGGGCTTATGAAGTTAACCCCTCTGGCTGACTTGCTCTGGCGGGTCTGTGTCTGCCTTCTCTAGGTGCAGACTCTGAACCTGTCCCAGGAGGAGGAACTACTGGTGCTGGCTGGTGGGGGCTCCCCAGG